TTATAAAAGTAAAAAATGGGTCATAAATTAGATAAAACAATAAATATCCTTTATCTCTGTCACCAGTACTATCACATACAAACATACTTCTAACTAAAGATTTCCAAATTCAATTGGATTCTTCTTTAAAAAAAAATCACACAATTAAATAACAGCTGTTAGAATATGTTGTATTTATTGAAGTTGTAAGAGCTGTGGTGGTGCAGTGGTGAGAATGCAGTATTGCAGGGTAAGTCTGCCCACTGCCAGCAGTTTGATCATGAACAAGTCAAGGTTGACCCAGACTTCCAAACTTCCGAGGGGGGTTAAATGAGGACCCGTATTGTTGGGGGCAACAGACTGACTCTGTAAACCATTGAGAGAGAGCTGTAAAGCACGATGGGACAGTGTGTGTGTGTGTGTCTTTATTGCTCTTGCTCATAGTAAAGTGCAAAAGTACTTCCCTTCATGCTGTGAAGGAGAATATTAGAGAATATGGGTGGAAGGGAAAATGGCCGGACGGTGTCCAAGAGACGCACCGTGAGGCCCCCTTGGAAAAGAGACGCAGGATTCACCTGAGGAAGATTAAGAATGGCCATCAGGAGGGCCTCAAGGAAAGCAGACAATCCCTTCTTTCTGCTCTAGAGACCTATACTAAGACCAACAGCTGCAATATAATGCATTTTCCTAGACTTAGCAGAAGGGAGGGAGCAACAATACTTTGAAAACTGTCACATAAATTGTTGATAGGATTATTGTTTCCACAGGAAAAAGAATAAGGAACCTGAAGGCTTTCCAAGTACTAGAACTGCTTTTCCAGAAATCCAGCAACCCGAATCTCTGCCAGTACATTCTGCTTGTCCTGAAATCCCTCTGGACGTGGGACCCCATGAATTTCTTCCTGCTGGAGTGGTCTCTGCAGCCCATCTGCCAGTTTGTGGGGGTCATCCCCCTCAAGCCCTTCCGGGTCCAGGCCCAGTTCTTCCAGCTGGTGGAGTCCGTGGTGAAGGACCTGTCTTATCTCCCCCACGAGATCTTGAAGAAGATCCAGTGCCTGATCAATGAAAACGCCCGTCCCTCGTGCACCTCGCTTGCCTTGGGCTGCCTCCACAGCATCACGCAGAGGGAGCCCCTCTTGACAGACATCTTCAGGGACTCCGGACTTTTGGGAATGCTGCTTGTTCAGTTGCGCAAAGAAGCCAAAAGACTGATAAAGAAAGGTACCCTCCATAGTCAATAAGTACACTAAATCTTTTCCAAACTGCGAATGGGTTGCCAGCAGTTCCACCCCTTTTCTCTGGTTGCCTGTCAGAGCCCCGTCTGAAATTTACCTTTGTGTTGATCCTAACTTTGGCTGCCACTCACACCTAGACAATCCGTCCTGTAGGATGCGCTGCTGCTGCTTCCTCCTGCTGGACCTTCTTTTAGCGCCAGCAGAGGTTGGACACCCTTCCCGCTTTCTAGGGGAATGAAACATTTGCCCAGAGAAACGCTTGCTTCCTCCGCCTTTCCCTCCATCATTCGTGATACGTCAGCAGCTTTCTCCCAGGGGCTGATCTGAGACGTTACTCGCCCAGGGCTTCATTGGACCCTTCTCCCACTCCCCCCCCCACCGCTTTCCCCCTATTTTTCTTGTTTTCCCTCAACCTCCCCCCCTCCCTCCTTTACAGGTTCCATTTTAACTTCAACACCCCCCCCCCAATCTCCTTAACCAAATCCCGACGTTTCTTCTTTCTCGCACTGCTTGTCTTCCAAATCTGTTGCGCCTCCTCACCTCCTGAGGCGGCAGGAGGTCCAAGTGAGCGCTGTCCTTCCGAGACTGTATTTTCCTGTTTGTGGAAAGGACAGCCATCCATGCCCAACGCTTCTCACGAAGAAGTCGGTCTGGTTTCTTGTCATGCAGGAAGCACTCAAGCGAGCCCTCAGGTGTCGGAAGGGGAGGATCTCCTCAAATGGACTCTGAAGATGGCAGCCGCTCTGGTGGTGGGATCCGTCAGGAACACAGGTAAAGGAGAGGAGAACCCAGTTTCACTGGCCACAACTTCATCCGTCGCTTCTTCTGTCGAGCCTGAAGCCAGGGGATAGTCCAGTCACCTGGTAGATATTTGCTTTCCTAGTCTTGCCACGGCTACCTGGTCTGTGGAAGATTCAGGAAACTCTCCATGAAAATAAGAACCGGCCCTGGGAAAGAAAGAGAGGCAACCTTTTCCCCTTTTCTAAAGACAACGTCCTAACCTGCGCAGGGACTTAGGGACCTGGCTATGGATTCAGAGAAATCTTACAATTTTAGAGAAGCTTTAAGACGATTACAAATTAATGTGTGCAACATAAAGCATGCTAATGTTGGGTTAGGCTAATTCAACAGAGGAAATGCAATTACTTTTCCTTTTCATGGAATCTTAAAGAAGGCCCGGATAACAGAGGGCTATTTCTGTCTCCATTTGCGTCTTTCCCTTCATTTTTCAACATTTTCCTATCTTTCTTAATCAGAAAAAAAAACCTTGAAAGGGGTGGGCAGAACTGAAAACGTTTTCATGGCCATTAGAATGGTCGTGACAGGCACCTTCAGAGATGCGTCCCCATCTTTCAGTGGAAAGAATCCATAGAGTGAGACAGGAAGGGAGAGATGGGCTGCAGAGAACGATGAGCCTTAGGACCCAGACCTAAATACTCTGGAATTATTTACAGGATGCATTTACAGCAGCATAAGGCAATCTGCACAGCGGCAACAGCCACGGTGCCTTACTCCAAGGAGGAAATACTTAGAGCAAAAGATTGAGAAGGAGACTGCACCAATTTTGGCATATATTAACAACACCGATTTTTCAGGGTGGGGGAATAAACATATTAATATTTCACTTAAGCCATGGGCTTTACTCCTTTCATACAACGTTGCATTCATTGTACTCCTCAATAAAATGTGATTATTCTAGTAACTGCTCTGTGAACCTGGCCATATATTACAAAATAATCTATGAAATTATTATCATTAAGTGGCCATCCTTCTGCTTGGAACATGGCTTAATAGCAGGCTGTACGTGTGATTTCTCAGTGATTCTCAGGGACTACGGCATGGTGCCCTACATCAAGATCTATGTGGATAGTGAGGTGTACCGAAGTGAGGCCGTGAACATCCTGGAGCAGGTGTCCATCGTCAACCCTGAGGAGTACATGAGCTCCGTTGTTGGGGCTCTCTGCTCCTCTACTCAGGGTGAACTACACTTCAAGCTGGATCTACTTAAAGTAAGGAATAGTAAATGCCAGATCTATCTTGTCTGAAAAAGATGAGGGCTTGGGCTATGTTCCTCCACTAGGCCACGAATCATAGGGAAGTTCTAAACTATGGGAATATGGTTACTTTGCCTCGTAGGGAAATTTAATTTATTGAAATGTGTCAGCAGTCCCTAAAACTGACCTCTAACTGAAGACGGAAAATACTGTTGGCATGAGGAAGAATTACTTGGTCATAAGTCCTGCCCAAGAGTGATATGTCCGCCTTCCTTGGAAGTCTTCCCAAAGAGGGTGGGCGGGCACCCATTGTAAAATCTTTAGTAGCTCCTGCAGGGACCAGGGGTTTGTACTAAGAGAGTTCTCCTGCTTCTTCCGACTTTGTGAATGATGTATATCTGTGTTTCTGGCTATGGCTGCCCCTGAAGATATGGCCCAATATTGGACACATTTCTTGGCCTCTAAAAAGTTTCCTGCTGCTGCAATGGTCAATAACTACCTAAAGAAGGTCAATGGTCCATTAAAGGGATCAGGGGGGAAGACTGTTAAGGGCGATTATCCTTTTCAGTGGGCTCATGAACAGCCAAGGTTTGGATACAGTCCTCAAGGACCCCAGTCTGGTGCTTTTATGAGGCCAAGAAGGCTTAAAAATAAGATGGGAATGATTGGAGTAGAGAGAGCAGATTTAGCTGGCATGGCTATTTTTATTTCCACCTATCATTATCCGGAGGCCTCCAGATGTGAGGTGGCAGAGAAGAGGCTGCTCTCGGGGAGATGACCTCCTTGTCCAATTTCCACAGGATCCATTTGGCCATCGTGAAGAACAGGATGATCGTAAAGAGGCCCTTTGATTTATGACTTGCCATGCCTGGTCTTTGGCAGGATACGCTTAAATCTAAGTCAGAAGCGGTAGAAAGACAGGAGCAGCTGGTTACTGATTAGTAGAATCTCAGATTTTTCATATAATACACTATATTGCCATACTGCACGAAAAACAATATGTAGAGATGGTTGTTCATAATAACAATTTGACTAGATAGTGAAAAGGGTGAGTGTGTCAGGCAAAATGCAAAACAGAATTAATTAACCAAGTACACAGTAAACAATTTAGAAGTTAGATTTAACTTCCCATGTTTGGGATAAGAGCCATGGTGGCACAGTGATTAAAATGCAATATTACAGGCTAATTCTGCCCACAGCCAGGAGTTCGATCCTCACCGGCTCAAGGTTGACTTTCATCCTTCCTAAGGGCATTTATTCTCCTGTTTGTTTGTCCTATGTATGTTGCAGGGCAGGTTTTGCATGGTATTTCGTAGACTCCTTGGTTTTCTAGCTGGATTTTTTCTTTGGGGTTTCTTAAGATGTTGGCTATTTTTTGGTCAGTGTTGAAGGCTGTCAAGACAAATAAAATCAGCAAAATTCTCCACAAACACAATATCAAGACAGCCTTCAACACTGACCAAAAAATAGCCAACATCTTAAGAAACCCCAAAGACAAAATCCAGCTAGAAAACCAAGGAGTCTACGAAATACCATGCAAAATCTGCCCTGCCGCATACATTGGACAAACAAACAGGAGAATAAATGCACACAACGCAGAACACAAGAACACAGTAAGAAAAAAAGAAAAAACTTTCTCCCTTTTCCAGCACCTTAAAGCTGCAGGACATGAAATTATTTTGAAGGAACCAGGTTAATCTCCAAAACAGAACACTTCAACAAGAGAATAATTATGGAAGCTATCAAAATAGAGAAATACCCCCACAACATGAATAATAGCAATAGCAATAGCAGTTAGACTTATATAGCGCTTCATAGGGCTTTCAGCCCTCTCTAAGCGGTTTACAGAGTCAGCATATCGCCCCCACAATCTGGGTCCTCATTTCACCCACCTCGGAAGGATGGAAGGCTGAGTCAACCCTGAGCCGGTGAGATTTGAACCGCTGAACTGCAGATAGTAGTCAGCTGAAGTGGCCTGCAGTACTGCACTCTACCCACTGCGCCACCTCGGCTTCCCTAAAACGTGAGAATACCTCCCGCCTACCAGACATCTGGAAACCAGCCCTAGGCAACAAATGAGCCCCACTCACCACCCAGGCCGTTACAACATGAAACAACAATGGACACACAACCAGCACCAATCAGCACCAATCTACTAATCATGATACAACCACACAACCAATCATTCCACTTACTGAAACAAAGCCAGCACTCCGCACACCCCCACCAAGGGTTATAGAAATACGGCAGCTCTGATCACACTTTAAGCCCAAAACCCTGAAGATGGCAAGTGAGATCTCGCTGAAATGTTTCCGAGACAATCTCAATCTTACATGGGAAAAGACCCAAATACAACAAGACCAGCATACCTACACCTGTGAAAATCTACGAAAACAAATATATCCATATATACATGTATATGTGTATATGTATACGTATACGTATACATGTATACATGCATGTATGTATATGTATATATGTATATAATTATATAAAGCCAATAGCACCTGTTGAAAGGAATTTTTCAAGAGTCCAATCATCCAGCAGGTTGGTGAAAGTAATTTACCTTAACCTAGAGACTGATGCTACGGTGATACCTACTGGTGGGGAAATGATTTGGACACCCTAGGGCAAGTCTATTTTCCTGAGTAAATGTGAAAAGAGGCAGTTTCTATACAGAATCTCTTATTGTTGAATTATTAGTTCTGGGAGGGATTCAACCTCCAGAATCTTTGCTCAGAATAATTTGAATCCCATTGATGAACCCTTTTCTTGTGTGCTCCTGATTCTTTATTTACATTTTTCATTTTCCCTAGAAGGCTGCAGAGGAAAAAATTAAAGCTATGGCCTCCGTATTAGAGAGAGTGGAAGGATTAACACCCCCCACCCACCTCACACCCGGATCCTCTCTGAACCCACCACAGCTACAGCTAACCTAGCATTCTTCTTATCCCTAAGTTTGCTGCTTGCCTGAAATGATATAAAAACTAATGCAGCTTTGATGCCTAATTCTGACAAATTATAACTATATTAATACATAATACGAGAGAATGAATTTACTATCTATAGCCTTTGGGATCATGATTACATTATGTTCAAATTCAGATTGATTTGCTAATTTATATTTAGCTGTTAAACCCCAAGTGCGAGTGCCGGAGAGTTCCAGAGCGGCAGGCGGTGGGCAATTATGAGGAATAACGAAGAAAGCCATGCAGAAATAAATTTGGTTAGCTGTAACCTAGTTAGGGGTTTCCACTCCAGGCAGGCCTATTACAGATTAAAGCCAGAAGAATAGACAATTAAATTGTAACAGAGTTAGAGCCAGAAGAAATGTGATTATGACTGACCTCTCCAGATTGTGTCAAAGCCATTCTGATACATCAAGGTCCACTTTATTAAGTTTACGCCTCTTCAGGAGTTACTGCCTGGTGTGATACATTAGCATGCAAACTGAATGGCAGTAACTAAGTTTCCTCCTTGTGTCTCTGGCACAAACCCTCCCCTCTTTCAGAGGATGAAGAAGGGAGGCGTAGCCGGGGGGGGGGGGGAAGAGGCATAGGATGAAATTTTGAAATCATATATCTTTAAAAAATTAAAATCCCTTATACAGGAAACACATAGCTCATATCCTCCTAAGTTCACAAAAGACAATTTTCTTTTCTTTTTTTCAATCAATTTTTTATTTTTTATATTCTTTATACATACCACTGCACGAATGATGTGGTATCTGGCTATCATACATTTCAGTACACATAAACATAATCTTATTACTCCTAAATATTACATTTCATTTCCATTATTTCATATTATTTATAAATGCCTTTTGTCATCACCCTTCATTTCTAAACCTTCTTTCTGCCCTTTTGTATATCTTAATGCATTAATATATAATTGCTGTTATTCCCCTCTATTTTCTATCCCTATTTTAACTTTCCCCCCTTCATATCGCTATAATATTCAAAGATGTGTTTTTCACCTATTTTGTTGTTCATATTTCCTTAATTAAATCAGAATTTTATCCTTCATTCTTCCATTATTCAATATCTCCATATACAGTTTTAGTACCAATCACAATCATTTATAAATTTAAAGTACTTCTATTCATGATCTTTCCAATTCTTCAATTCTACTATTAGTTTGTGTGTGTATTCCATTTAGGTTACCCTCATGTCTTATATTGTATCTGTATTTAGTCAATCTCTTTTAGCCCACTGTCCAGAGTTCATAAATTCAAAAAGCAAAACTTCCTAGTCACAATTTTAAATGTCTTATTAATAGTCAGTCCAATCAATTTAAATTCACCAGGAGATTACCCACGCCTCTTCAATTTACTTTATATGTTCAATAATATTCAATGATGTTCAGGGACTCTCAACTGAAGTCCTTAGTTAATAATCAAATCCTTAGTGGTCTGGGAGTAGATCCATGTCCAACAAATATTTTCAGCCTTTTTAAATAGTTATTTCCAAGCTCGCATATTTCCCTTTGCATCGGTAGATGGCACTCTCACTGCTGTCTGCTTCAGCCTCTCTGCAATGTTATTGACAGTTCCAATTTCAATTATTTTAAATTATAAATCTGATAATTGGGCAATATTTGTAAAAAGGAATTTGGGACTTTAATTCCAGCATTTTAAAATACTCTCAATATCACATCTTTTAACTTTGAGAACTGTTTATATTTATCATTTAAAAAACATTTTCTTTCTTTCTTCAATTCTCCGTTTTTTTTTCCTATGTGCCCATTTACCGCTTCAACAAATAGCTTTAAATATGCTTCCCCCTTGGATTTCTGGGGTCAACTTCCAATAAAAAATATTTTCTCACCCGGATCACACTCCATTCACTTTTTCCACTCCAGCAGAGCCTTGGGTATTCCGGCTGTCCCCGGCTTCGTGGCGGCCATATTGGCTGCCGCTGCTCCTCATCTTTGGATGAGGGGGCTTTCCAAGTCAGGGAGGAGAGATGCGGCTCTCCTCTACCTGCCAGGTGATCCCCCTTTACTTCACCACCCCTTCAGGGTGGCTATGGCCCAAATTTGGACCCTTTGATGAGGAGAGGCCGGAGCCGACCACGGAGCTCGTAGATCAGGCTTCCGAAGGTGCCAGAAGTACAACCGGAAGCTCTAAATTCACAAAAGAAAATTTTCTGATGAAGTAAACTGTAGTTCACAAAAGATTATGCCTTTTAATAAAACACCTTACTCTGAAAATGTGTTACCAGATGCCTTTTGATGAAAGGATAATTCATTTTGTCTATGATATGATAGCCGTAGCTTGTGGTCTGACAATGTATGGACCAAAAGTCCTGGCTATAATGACTCAAGCCATTACCCTCATGCAATTAGACTACTACAATGCATTCAATATGGGGCTGCCTTTGAAGCTTGCCCACAGGCCATTGTTAGTTCAAAATACAACAGTCTATTTTGCTTGATTGGTCCTAGCCTCTACAATCATAAAATTCCTATTTTAAAGCCCAAGATTGGAGCTAAGGCTTATGAATTGGTGGCTGATAGGTTTTCAGGTGCAATTCAAAGTGCTTGTTGTTATGTATAGAATCCCATGCAAATTAATACTTACCGTATGTAGCTGTTCCTATGCTAACCAGAGCCAGCCTGCCTGAGGGACCCTTCAGGGAGAAGCTGCTTCTGGTGACCTCCAGGAACTGAGACCAGAAAGTCTTGTTTTTCTGTCATGCTTCCCATATTATTAACAAAAGGGCAGGCTGAACCCTTCTGTGGAGACTTTCTGGAAACAATCAATTTGGAGGACTTCAGTCAAGACCAGTTTCCTCTGGAGTTGGCTGCTGTTCTTTGCAAACCTTGTATACACGGTGATAAGTTCTTCTTTCCTTTTTCTCCCATGCCAGTCTCTGCTGAAGACCCTGGTGAACCCCAAGGGTCGCTCCGCCTTCAGAACCAGCAGTGGCTTCAACGGGCTGTTTTCCCTCCTGGCTGACATGGAAGGTTCCCTGCAGGACCCGCCTTCGGGCGCCTGGGCCTCCTTCGGTCAGAGCCACATACTAGGACTGATCCTGCGCATTCTCCAGGCAATGGCAGCCGCTCTGTACCTGGACTCTGCCAATAAGGGCTTCTTCCAGGAGAACCGTCTCTTTGAGAGGATGGCGGAGGACCTCGGCACGCTTGGCTGCTTTTCAGCACAAAGGTGGGGACAAATTCCTACGCAGATCAACAAACCACGATCCTTTGTTGAGCTTTCAAATACAGCTGCTTGCTCACCTGAGCTTTTCCCAACTCGGCTAAAAAGCTGCACCAGGATATTCAGCTTCCTTGATTCCATGGCCAGGATGAACCCCTTCGCCCTCAAGAGCTGCTTGGAGGAAACAGATCCTCCTCCCACATTGGGCATTCGGAATGGGACAGAAAATCAGCAAGAAGATTCTCCAGGGAATCTTTGGGACCATAGAAAGTCTAACGAAGTAGCTGCCGTCCAGCTGCCAGAACCCCAGAACAGGTAGGCCGTCGATGGTTGCGATATGTAGAAAGTTGAAAGCACTAATTTGGACGTTCTAATTATCCTATTTCTTACACGTCTTGGGGCCTGTATTTTCACGAGCGTGCACATTTATAGATGACTCCAGTGTAGGTTTACCGAGAATACAAGCTCAAATGATGTAATGTTAATTGCAGACCTAAGTATACCCTGTGTTAGTCACGGAAGGGGCACAATTATTTCAAGTGCAAAAAAGGAGGTTATTGACATTTTTTCTTTGCTCTCACTTGCCATCAGCAGCTCCTCTTCTAAAGTATTTTCCCGTTTCCTTTAGAGAAAAGTGGTTTGAAGAACATCCTGGATAGGGCAAAAGGGTAGCCTGCAGTTGGATTTAGTTTCTGAACGCCATGGAAGTCCATTCCAGTTCATGCATATTTGGAAAATATAAATATAAATGAAGCTCTGATCAAACTGACTGGCATTACTTCATAGCTTTCTGGATCTTTCTGCTTTCAAATAATCCTTAATTATAAGTGAAATTATACATGGATATGAGTCTAAATTAGTGTTCCTCACTTTGGCAAGATGTATGGATTTCACCTGCCAGAGTTCCCCCGGCCGGTGGGACATCCACACGTGATAAAGTTGCTAAGGTGGAGATTCCCTGAACTCTCGGCCCCTCTCAGCCTCATGATGTAGGTGAGGCCAAAAAGGGTAGAAACCTCCCCCCAATCATTCCTGGAAGCCTGCCCAACTTTCTACTAATTAAAATTAAAATGGGTTTATTAAGGGCGTTTCTTGTGCATGCTTAAGTCTCCAGAGTGTGCAGTCTTTTCTTGAAACACCCCCCCCCCCTTTTTTTTTAGATTCAGCTGCATATGTTATCTAGATATATGGAAAGTCTTTGATTGCATAGATGGACTGTTTGTTAACAAAATTATAGATATTTAAAGTTGGATCTAAATTGCAAAATATGATATTTAGCAGCCTATAACAAGTCAAATAAGGACAAACAATTTATCATAAGGAGAGGCACCAAACAGTAATATTTCTTTTTCTCTTTGCTGTTTTTCTATCACCTTGGGAGGAGCCATAATTCATTCACAAAATTATGAAAAAAGGAGGCAGTTAAAGTTTCCACTCATTAATTTTGTTATAAGGCAGTTTCAAATAAGCAGACGCTTCTCAAATGTTGGGAAAACTGAATGCCTTCTTTGGTAACCTGGATGAAATGAGTCCTACTCAGACACAATGAAATGCCAGCCAATCCTTACAGAATGCTACAGAATTAGGGTGTCCGTCCCCCCCCCCCCCGGCTTCAGAAAGGAAGAACTGAAGCACAGGACACGCTGCTCCCCTTTTTCTCCCGAGGGAAAACGCTTGATGGAACTCCGTTGTGGAGCTTTGCCTTCCCTGGGGGCAGCTGGGAGGGGCCATCTTCTTCTGGGGTATCCTTGGCCACCAAGAAGGTTGCAAATTCTCCTCCCCTCCCAGTTTCCAGAAGCATCTGCTTCCCTGTTTTTATGCAAAAAATGGATGAGAAGGACTGTGACCTGGTCCCTACTCTTTTGTCTTGAGGCACACAAATGTACAGAAATGCCGTAGGTGTCATCTTCTCTTTTCTCTGAAGGCCACAAAGTGAGGACCCAGTGATTGTGTGTCCCGGAGCCCTGTGTGTCATGGTGACACTGATTGGCAAACTCTACAATGAAGCTTACCCTGAGGTAAGTCGACAGGTGAGGGAGACTCAACTTCACACAGGTGAGATTACGGTATATAGCCTAGCCTAGCATTAGCTCAATTGCTCCTTTCAAAATACCCTGTTTCCCTGAAAACAAGACCTCCTCAGATAATAAGCCCAGTCAGGCTTTTGAGCGCATGCGCTAAAACAAGCCCTCCCTGAAAATGTTGCAACGCGTCAGCAGCCATGAGGTGACCACGATTGCCACCTCCTGCACCTCAGAAACAGCAGGCCTCCCCGAAAATAAGGCCACGCGCTTATTTCGGGGGTCAAAAGAAAATAAGAACCTGTCTTATTTCCGGGGAAACACGGTAAATAGTATTATGCAAAAGAGAAAAGTAATAAAAGAAAATGAAAGGGAAAAAAAAAGAAAGAAAATTTATTCTACACCCCTCCGATTTACAGCGCCCTCTTTCATCTGTATTCATATCCACTTGATACTTAAACAAACCCACCCAACTGCAAAAAAAGAAGAAGAAGAAGGAATCAAATATCAGCATCCTCATCTGCACCCTAAGTTATATGCCAAGTACACCTTGCAAGGCACTCCCAAGTATGGAGGCTGCTGGTGAGGGGAGAGTCGCCCCATAAGAGCAGCCGTGATGGGGTGGATGGACCGATGGGCATGTTTGCCCCCAGACTTCATCCTGACGCAAAGTTGTGGGCTTATTTGCCGATTTGTAATTGCATCTCCTGTGCCCCCGTCAGACTCCGGGAGGGATGTGTAGGGAAATCAATCTGGGGAAACGAGACTAGTTTCCTGTCACCATTAATTTTTTTCACTAAAACCCTTTTTTCCTGGAATGAGCATCTCTGAAAACGGCACATTTTATTCAAAACAAGGCAATCTCATTATTGGCAGGACTGCTGTCATAATACGAACAATCAATTCCTTGTACTCCATTATGGCTCTATTGAATTTGTGAGGGCAATGCGGATTTACTGAGCCAAGATCTTCACGGTGTCATCCTTCCCCTTAACCTTGCTTTTTTGCTGAAGCAAAATTATTATTATTATTATTATTAGGAAGAGCAATATTTAAGGTACAAAAAGCATTACGGTCTACTTAGAAAATCTAGAGGACTCTTTCTCAATTGCTGGTGAATTAGAGGCCCCAGTTCATGAAAATCCCTTGCAACCCCGACTGAAGGGAACCGGAAATGGCCCTGGATGGGTCGGTCCCTTGGGTAACTTTCGCTCATTCACTCAGGCAGGTCTGAGCTGGCTTGGGGGTGGCCATCCATCAAAAGCCCATCACAGGTGGCAGAGAAACCGGCATGGCAGACCTTGAGATATCTTCCCCATTTCCTTGGTTCTCAAGCAGGACCGTGGCTAAAAGATGAACGGACATGTGCTGCGGCTGCTGATCTTCGGCTGAGCAGAGAGAAATGAGGCCGGCCATCGCCTTGTCTTGGGTTATAGGAGAGCATTGTAGTATGTGTGCCGGACATCCCAGAATGCCACTGTTTTATTTTTCAGATTTATAATTTTAACAAACAGATTTACCCAAACTACTCCATTTTTATAGGTCTACACTACTTGACACAATTTTTATTTCATTTTGGAGACAGCACACTACAGTGAACATAAACATCCCTGAACATAATCTCCTGTTGTCTGATCACATTTGTTATCTTAGCCTTTTTCCAATAGCCATTTCATTTAAATTTTGAATTTATTTCCTGCCTGTTGTATTTTACAAACATTTATATCGTATACAAAATGCCCTATTTCTAATTTCTGATTGTGAACATGTGTGCTAATATCAACCAAAAATTAAATGTTCAGCAGCCCACCTTGCAACTCTAAAATTCTCCAGTAAAATTAGTGTGCAATGGAGATAACAGATGAAGAGGCAGCTAATTTCAATAATATCTAATATGGAGCAATGAATGAGCCTTTGGCAATTTTATATTATTTGTAAACCTTTTTATTAACTGTACGTTGTAGCTGGCCAACCCTGGGTTCCTACATCATTTCTTAAATGTTTGTTTAGAAAGCCAAGCTCTGATTTCTGCAATGACCCAGGACGACTCTGTGTCCATTATGGCTGCCTGTTACTGGCTGCCCTGGTGTTGGCAGCAGCCCACTCATGCCTGTTCTTCTTGCCCTCCTCCTGCCTTGGCTTCTTCTTTCAGTTGTCCCTGGAAATCCAATTCGCGGTGGCTGACCATATTCAATCCTTGATGGGCCTGGAGAAGAACCGCCAAGTGGCTTGTACAGCTGGCCTGCTGGGCTGCCTCGTCAGCTCCTGCCCAGAAGTTCTGCATGATGCAAGCAGCCCCCTCCACGCGCCTCTGATCCGGCTCTTTGAGAAGCTGGCCTCCCAGTCCATCCGGCCCGAGGCCTTAAGGTGATGTGTCGGTCTATCGCAACCGGTACCTGTTGGGCCACCTGGGGCTTCAGGGATCAGTGACTATTGTTTTTGAGTGCAGAAGGAGGTGGGGAGCGTGGTCACCTCATGGCTGCTGCTGCTGCTGTGTTGCAATATTTTTGGGGAGGGCTTATTTTAGCACATGCTCTCAAAGCCTGAGTGGGCTTATTATTCGGGGAGGTCTTATTTTCAGGGAAACAGGATATTTGTATCTTGCCTCTATTATTTTTATAAATAACTCAAGGTAGTAAACATATCCAACACCTCTCGTACAGTAGTTGCTGTTTCTTATTTTATTTTTCTTCACTGTGAAGTACAGTATTGGTAACATGCTGCAGAGATGCAGCCGGTAAGACTCTGAAACTCCGCTAAAACTTGTGGCAGCATCTTTCAAGACTCCTGTCCTCAAGAACTGCTGGCCAATGCCTCCGTCAGCCTTGGGTTTGGGGAACACACAATGAAGACTTTGAGGCAATTCTAGGACCTTCATCCCCCATCTTTCGCACGCACACCCACCTCTGCCATGCGCCTCCTGCATAGACGCCTCATGCAGGCGTTCCTTTTCTTTTGCCGTGGGTCATTTGTCCTTCATCTCTTTTAGACAATTCCTGTGCCCACGGATGATGCCCCTTCCCGTTGCTACCCCACCCCTCCTAAGCCTCCCTCTGGCATCCCTCAGTGACGGAGAGGAACTGGACAGAGTCCAGAAGATGGTGGATCTGCAGTCCAAATCCTGTGAGAAACAGCTAAAAGGTCTGTTTAGTCTACAAAAAGATGAACGGGGAGGCATGTGGGAATCGTTTTCAAATATGTGAGGAATTCTCAGAGGGAAGAGGAGACGGACGTATTCTCTGTTGCTTGAGAGGAAAAAGTCAACACAGGCAGATCTCGCTTAACACCCATCTGTTCAGCAACCATTTGAAATTATGAGGGTGCTGAAGGAAGCATCCCACTCACAACTCTGGAATGCCTTCTTGGCCTTTTTCGCGTTACTTCTCTTCTTTATACTGCGGCTCTCTCAAAGTTCCCAGTTTGGAACCTGCCGTAGCATCACTAACTTGGTATGTTTCTTGTATTAGGTTCTGGAACAGCTGCACGGAATGACAGCACAAAGCAAACTCTGTTGGGCTCTGATCCCCCCGAATGCTCTGCAATGGCTCTCCAAACGGCCATGAGCCTCATTTCCTTGACAACCCCGCGCAGCCTCCATCTGCACAGCGCCTGCCTGGCCCCTTCCTTTGTGGAGTTCGACATGTCTCTCGATGGATACGGGTAATACAGGATCGACTTCTGCTTCCCATTGCAACATTCCTCATCTCAGCCTCCAGGTCCATCTGCCTTTGGTTCCATGGAGTGGATAGTTCAATTTGTGGATAGTTCAAAAATCAATCAATCAATCATGTTATTTAGATGCCTAATGTTTTGTCATCTGAACGAATATCACCCATTTAAATGGGGCGAATTAGATAACAGGTGTCGTTCAGAGCAACTTTAGGAACAGAAATTTCTCATTTCCCCTTTTCGTTATTGTTCATAGTTCTATAATGTGTTATGGGAAATATGCAAAGAAATATTGTTAAGTCATTGAGGAGATCCTTATATATCTAGTGCTGTTTACATACATGAACATTCATTCATGTCCTCCTTAATGTGTTTTGAGCCAACATTGTTTAGCGCAGACCAAAGATGCACAAATGTATTTTTGAGTCTGGTCTGGGGAGGCCCCCTCCCCAAAAGGATGCAATTAAGATGGATTGAATAGGGATAGGATAAAGAGTAATTTGACCTTATTTTAATTTTTGAACACTTAAATTTAAATACAGTTAATATTATTTCCCCCACATACATATTTAAGGGGAGAACTACATATTTTGCTGGCAACATTTGGAGGACATTGGGGGCCCATTAAGGTGGAGGGCGAGTTGATTTGATTTTGATTTGATTTTAGCTTTATTTGTATGCCGCCCTTTTCCCTGAGGGGACTCAGGGCGGCTCACAATTCAGGGGGAGGGAAGNGCTTTAAATCAGAACTGAGCATGCCTAGTTGTGGAATTCTGGGAGTTGAAGTCCACAGGTCTAAAAAAAATTATGTCAGTGCCTCACCAGCCATAAACCTCACTGTACGTCACTGCTCTATTTCTATGTTAATCTCTTTAAAGACCTCTATGTGATAATTCCCTAGAGGTGTTGCATAGGAATGTGCCCAAGCATATAAAAGAATGCTAAGTAGAGTTTTTATATAATGGCTCTATCTTCAAGTTTTTTGTAAGTAGAAGTTTTTCAGACCAGCACAAGGCTCCAATTTTCCCTATTGTCCCATCATTTTGTGTGAACATTAACAGGGACTCTTAGATTTCTAGAAATCTGTGCATTTTGGTTACATGTGTACCCATTTCCTTCTATGTTATGATTGGAAAACCTCAACCAGTCTGTTTTCTACTTTAGAGTGTTATCAGCTATTTAAATCCACATAAAAGAAATACAGCCACTCCTTGTTTAGTAACTACCTCATTTAGTGATTTAAAAACAACAATTTTCTGACCGATGTGGACATTCCCCACCAAATTTCTTGCACTTGACAACAAAAGACTTCAGTGTGAAACTGATTAAGTTTCTGGTAAGTTTCAGGCAGTTGTGCAGCCAGCAGGAGGCTTCTAGTCAAGCAATTAAGGTCACAGAGTTGAGTTTGTTCTACCCTGTAGAGAAAAGCTGTTTGGGAAGAGATCACTTCTTTAAGCAATCTCTACCCTGCAAAGGAATCAAATAAAAAAGGGGGAGAAAATGAGTGAGGCACATTATCTGAATGTGAGCACAGCAACCAATGATGTTTGTAATGTCTTTCTCAGTCACATGATCACCTCATAACCATTTGGCTTAGTGACCAAAATATTGGAATGGAATGTAGTCATTAAATGAGGAGAGTGTATATAAACATCTGACTACAGCTTATGCGTAAGACTAAGTAGATGAGAAGTGTCAAACTGGCGGCCTGCATCACATGCAGGCCACGCCCACCCCAGCTCCATGAATGGGAAAAACATCACAAAACGTGACTTGATGCAACAAGTTTGACACATGTAAAGTAGATAGTTTGGATAATTGTTTATCTTCTTTTGCTATTTTCATTAACTTGCTCTATCAGAAACAAAATTAATTTTCAGCTTCCTGAAATTCTCAACTGCACTCATAGAACTGAATCTAACAGCTAATAATGTACCCATACCAGGCAATGATGGGCCTCATTACAATTTCTTTTTGAATTAAGAATTCTCACTGATTTAGAATACACTCAGCTTTCACCACTATTTGCTGTGGGAAAGGGAGCGATCTTGCTCAAACTATGTTTCAGGTATTTCTTCTCACTGATGAACCTCTGACCAATTATCAAAGAAATCAGAATTTGAAAACACATGTAGGTTGCCTTAGAAGTACTTTTTTGTTGACATACAATGCTACATAATATTCAGTAACATTCTCAATATTTCTGAAACTGCAATTTTTCAAGTGCTTGTGAACTGATAGCTCATTTTACACCATGAAAATATTCTTCATGGAGAAAACCTATCTACATGGTTGTTAAAGAGTCAACACCAACATAACAGGTGATAATCAAATAATTCCTGAGACTCTAAATTAAAAGTTTACATTTGATTTTATATCATCTTTAATCTTCTGTCTACATACTAAGAAGTAAGCATTACTAAGAGTGAGTTCGGTATAGTGGTTAAGGCATCAGGCTAGAATCAGGGAGACTGTGAGTTCTAGTTTTGCCTTAGGAATGAAGCCAGCTGTATGACCTGGGGCCAGTCACTCTGTCTCAGCCTTAGGAAGCAGGCAATGGCAAATCAATGTGAAGTATTGACAAGAAAAGTACAGAGACTTTTCCAAGTCAGTTGCCACTGACTGGAAGATACACATGCACACAAACGCGTATACGCAGCACTATTAAATGCAAACTTGCCTGAATGTTGTATATAAGATTGTGCTGTTGGGCTCTTCGATGACTAAGCATAATGATTTGTAGCTCTGTGTTTTAAAATAAAAATGAATCTAACATAAATGGAAGAGGTTATGAAGATAACCTAATTCCTGATGTCTATGGAGATTCTCAGACAACCTAGTTCCAAGTATTCCTGTCCAGAGAGAAAAAGCCTGGAAAATACTGAGAAATGATATCTATAGAATAAAAATCTTGTTGGCCTGATTTATGAAATCAGAGAATGACATTTAGCAGTCTCACCAGAGTTGTCCTTTGCCGAGGACCTTCCTTTATACTTCCAATGCAAATGCTTTCCTTATATGATTACACTGCTCGTCTAGGCAACCAATTTAGTTGTATTTATTTTGTACAATGGCAATAACGGCAATACTATACTAGGTAAACATTTACTATTGTTCTACTAAAGAGAATAGCTTAGATTATCTATTCAAATGCATATTTACTGTATCTTTATGTTTTCCGAATAGTTTTCATAATTTTTCTATTTTGGATACAATCTAATCCATAATGTAATGAAATAAGAAATATTTCTTGTAAAGGTATTTCTACTTTTCAAAGATAGATACACCTCAACTACTTAAGCATATGAACATGTATAATATCTTCATACTTATATAGGTGGCCTTGAACTAACTGAAACATAGAAAGCAAAATATTTCTTTCCTGGGAACAAATGTTTCTCTCAAATGCACAAAAACTTCAATATAATTGTAATAAATTGCAGAATATACAACCGAAACAATTTGAAGGCTATTGCAGGCTGCGTGGGCAGCAAACTGTTTCAAAAAGGGAGAGGTTGGTGAAGAGCAGAACTGATGATAATTCATAAGATGAGGAAGAAATAAGCTTCCTTTTATCCACATTGTGCTGTCTAGAGAATAGATTATTTTAACAGTGTCTAGAGGACTTCTCCTTTATTATTCACAAAATGACATCTTGAAAATATGTGTGTTTGTGTAAGAGAAACTTTAGTAGGTTTTAGGCTAGTTCATAGTTGAAGTATACACTTATACAAATATCTCACGTATAAGTACTATTGTTGCTTTGCTTGGGATATTTTTATTGGCATTATAACTGTGTTGTTGGTATTTGAACCATCATTTGTAGTATTTTAAATGTTTACCTGGGATTTTGAAGAAATATAATCTGAAGTTCTGTTAACTGACATTGTAGGTTTTGACTCTTGGATTCCAATACTATAACTGATATATTTCTTTACAGTGCAGTTATTTATTTGGCCAGGAATAGGCTACAGAAGGGATGTCAAACTCATTCATTGAGGGTTGTGTTTGACCTTGGGGCGCCGGGGGGGCATGGCCTGGGTGGTCATGGCCAGCTCGACGTTACTTGTCGAGCTCCGTTTTCTGCCGCGATGGCCTCTTGCAGTTCTCTGCCAGCAAAAATGGAGCTCAGTGGAGTGTGCATGCCCTGTCTGGGCTGTTTTCACTGTCAGAGGGTTGTGAGGTCGTCACGGCCGAAAACAGAGTATAGGCGAGCTGCATGCAGTCTCCCCAAGCTCCGTTTTCACTGGCAGAGGACTAAAACAGAGCTCAGGGGGGCCGCACAGAGGCCCCACTAGCCGGTCATTTTCTGTTTCTAGGGTGGCCCCACAGGCTGGATCCAGCCCCCGGGCCTTGAATTTGACACCCCTGGGCTGGAGGAATAAAAAGTAGAGGAGTAGTGCTCCCTAAAAACATACTGTGACTTGAGGAAATTAAGAAGACATTGTCAAAATATCCCCTTATCATGTTTGAATTAATATCAGAATCCCATGTAATCTAGTTCTGCCCTAAGAACATCAGTACTATTTTAGAAATTATGACTATGAGTAAGACAACAATTCCAAAAACATCAGAGATCTTAAGAACAGCAACAACCCAAAGAGAGCCCTGCTAAATCAAACCAGACTAAAAGCCATCTATTTTCAACACTGACAAAGTAGATGCTTCCAGGATACTTCCTCCAAAACCTGAAGGCTCTGAGATTCAACATTTTGGCTCCTAGGTTATTGGTATTCGGAGACAAATTGCCTCTGAGGCCAGAAATTGCTAACAACCATAATAACAAATAATCCTTAAATGAATATGTCTACTTCAGAGTATGAGAAGTTGTGGCCTTTTAAGATGTTGTTGAACACTAAGTCTATAGCCATCCTTCAGAAACATTTCTACACATTAAGGGGGTGGGAAACTTTACGCATGCCTCTTCAAGCTGCTCAGCTGTTTTTGTGTCCGGGATCCTTAATAATTCATTACTGTGAAGACTATTTTAGAAAC